GAGTATTTTGTTGATTCTGTCCCCGGACCACCATGCTCTCAGTCAGATGAAGAGAAAAAACACAGACTACGGTGAGGCTTGTATCATTCCTTAAAGGTCAAAACTATTAGGCTTCTCTCTTTCGAATCTTTCCTTGTTTTTGAATTTTATTGGAAACTTCCTACCAACTCCTGCAAGTTGACAAAAGAAATACTAGTAAATGGTAATCTCCCAAGTCCCTTCTTGTTATATATTTCTTTTACTTTTCTGAGGGAAAATGATAATTAATTTTGATTAATAATATTATTACGATATTTTCTTAGACTCTGGGTGACCCAATTACAAATAGCAAGCAGCGGGCATGAACATGACACATATCACACTTTTATTTTCTTAATACATATCTAATGGCCGAATTTGTTCCGGAAACAACTGGCAATCCTTTTATCTGTACCATGTCATGCATGAATTAAATTATTACCCTGTGATGGCCAAAAAAAAGAAAGAAAAAAAAGAGGAAAATAACGCTCTTGATGTAAATTTTTATTTTGGTTTGAACGGTTATAATGTTTGTAAGTGACTTTTTATGTATTTTAAAATTAATTTTTTTAAATAATTTAAAAACTTAAATCATGTATTTATCGCATAACATGATACTTATTTATTATTAAATCTAACATATGAATTACTAATGTTTAATCTATATTGTTTGGTCACCAAGAAAAGGATTAAGAAGAAACTTAGAGTTTGTTTAGTTGGTTACTTTTTCAGAAAAAGAATTCATGATGGTGGACTAAAAATTCAATGGGCTTGGCTTAGGATTTAACTTTCTGAGCATGTAGATTGATATGCAATATAATTGATTGTAGAAGGATATATAATGCATTATAACCACGTTATCTAAAAAGGTTTTAACACACAAATTGAGGTATAATATTATTATTTATAAAAAAATAAATGCATTATGATCACACTTTTTAAAAAGTTTTTTTAAAGAAAGTAAATATAATTAATTATAAAAAAATTATATTAATATAATTATTTTTAAAAATAATTAATTCTATTATAAATATAATTTATTACCTTTTTCTTTATTACTAATTATATTGTGTTTTAATTTATGCATAAAAAAATTAATATCCTAAATTAAACTAATTAAATTTGTAATCGAATTCTTCAAATTCTTTTAAAAAAGAAGTGAGCAACCAAATAGGTTTTAAAGCTTTCTTTCCTCAAGAAAATTTGAAAACTGGGATCGTTTTCTAATTAATTAATATCAAAGTCGAGATCGTTCCTAATTTTTACTACTGTTACTGTATCAAAACTGGGATTATGCCCCTAATTTTTTACAATCCTCAAACTGCCAACATTAATAACGGTGTTGTGATGGGATGAACCATGAGGAACAGAAAGCAAGTTATTGGCCCCATAACAGTGGCCGTGTGGGACCCAGGGGCGGAACCAATGAAGGACAAGGGGGCAGCCGCCCCCCCAAAACTTTTGAAAAATAATTAATATGGTACTCTAACTTTTATTTGTTAAAAATTTTGTTTTTATGGTATGGATTTTAAGGATCATTTTAAATGTAGAGAGAATATTTATGATCTAAATAAAAAATTTTCAAAAAATAAGCATACTATTTAAATAAAATGAACTTTATGAGAATTTAATTAATTAAGAATTTGGGGTTCCTAAATATTTCCTTATCTATTAAACCCCAAAAAGCAAACTTTGATTCTTTATTTAATCAACTTTAAATTTACACTTTTTTTTTGAAATAATATAATTTTATGACATTTTTCCTCATAATTTTTTAGAGATTTTATTAACAAAAACACATTTCTTTTTTTTAATTCATTCTTCAATTGATTATTATATGATTTATTACTATATTTTATTTTTTATTATAATAAATACATTCATTTTTAATCATTGTTAAGAATATATCAATAACAAAGATCATAAATAAATCTTTTTATAACAAAAATAAGATTTAAAAAAATAAATTAATATTATAAAAGATACTCTTAAAAATC